ATATTCCAAGCCAACAAGTGAATCTCCTGGTAGGAGTTCAACCCTTGGAAATTTAGATGAGGAAAGTGTTATCTCTAAAAGTATGTCAATGATAAAGTTAAACAAGAATGGAGAGTGTGGGCAGCCCTAACGAACACTACTTGAGGTAATGAATTCTGATGACAGTCCGATAAAACAACGGCAGCGAAGCCCAATAAAACATACCTTGATGTCGGTCGATCTTGATCTACAACCCGTGGTACAGGACATAGGTACCATGGTCCTGCAAGTGAGATACGCTTTACAGGCAGAAGGCCTACAGCAGTCAGCTCTTATGGATCCGGACAACACACCGTAGGGAACAATCTAACTAAAACCCAGAGGGCGGAAGCTGCTGCACATTAGCACTACGTTGTAAGACAAACCAATAAGGGCCTCTATAGATGCATAAGAGGACTTAAGAGTAAACTAGGGAAGATCAGTAACACATGCGTTCAACTGGACCCGAATATTGTTATTCTAACTAAAATGCAGTTATTGCCTGACACCGTGAATGAAGAAGTAGGGCAGACAAAACTACTACTACTACCGAATTCGCCTAGGTGACAGGACCATGTTGGTGTTGATTCAGGGTGAGCGTCATTAAGTACTTGATTGAAGGATATACGGGGCCCCCAGAGGTTCTAACACCCAAAAAGATGAGACAATAAGGGTGATAGTGAAGCTGCTCTACCTGGGATTTGACCACATATCACTAGCTGGGAACTTCAACATTCCATCCCTAAATCTCGGCAAGCAGGATATAACCCCTACAATGTGGCTTTATAAGCAAGTTGCCGCAGCTATCAAACTTTCAGGACTAACCGAACATGTGGATGATGCCACGAGATGGTATATGGACGGAAAAACCTCAGAATTAGATCATTTACTGACAAATGGTTAAAATCTAGTCAAGGATATCTATGTTCATGCGCCGTTAGAAAGTAGTGAACACTTTTTTTTATCTAGGTCACAAACAGGATACTTTAGAGGGAGGAGAATGTTCCATACACTGGAGTGAAACACACGACTATGAGGGAGCATCTTCAACATTCTTTTGTCCACGAGCGTAGTGGAAGCTAACAGCGGACGAATACATGGTGGCATTGCAGTGTGCTTCTAGGCCAGGCCAGCATCTTAAACGCAAGCTAACCCTAATCGTTTACAGATCGATGGCCAGAAGAAGGCTCAAGAGACAGGGGACCCATACTGTTGATCGGACAAATTGTAAGAATCTCACTAGCTTAGACAAAGTTCGGAGATGCTGCCTACCCTCTTAGTTCTTCGGTTTATATAAGAATATAAGCGTTTGCGATATTCTATAGACTTCTTACAAAGCCTTTCTTCATATAATCTTCTAGACTTATTGATGGTGGAGGCTCAAATCTTTCGGGCTTCCTGATATTTAAGTTTTGTTTCGTCAGTAAACCGCGACCCAGATCTCTAGCACATTCTTGTCATCTCACGATGAAGGATGTAAGCCTCCTTACTGAACCATGGTGGCGAGTTTTTTGAACTTCTTGTTGTTCAAGGGTCATTCAGTACAGTAATTTTTATGTACACACTTCTGTACACCTCCTAAGCGGTTTTAATAGGGAATTATGATTCTATTGTCCAATCCACTGAAGATGCCGAGTGTATAATTTCTTGTAAACACTTGATCTGGCTTGGGATGAGACATCTTTGTTTTCAAAAATATGGAAATCAAAGACTATAAGTACACGACCATTCTTGCCTAAATGTGACATGTAATTGAGCTTCTCCTCCTCTACGCTTCTGGGTTCTGTAGGCTCTTACAATGTTGAACATTCCCCTTGTGTATGCCGAGGGTTTCTGATGCAGAGACTGCCGCTTAACTGGCTGTCTTTATCTGCATTTGTTCATGTGTGTGCGATAGGAGGGCTAGGTCATCTGAGAAGTCCAACTCGTGTGATTGGTTTTGAGCTGTCCATTGTATTCCGTGTTTTTACTCAGAATTCGAGGTCTTTGTAACCCAGTCAACCACCAGATAAAAAAGGGAAAGAGTAGACAGCCTTGTCTGACTCCGGTCCTTACTTGGAATGCATCTGTCAGTTGTCCTCTATGCAAGACCTTGCACTGTAGTCCGTCATATGAGTTCCGGATAATATTGAAAATCTTCTCAGGAACTCCGTAGTGTCGAAGAAGTTTCTATCACGTTCTCCTATCCACACTGTCAAATGCCTTTTCATAATCAATGAAGTTGATGTATAGTGACGAGTTCCACTCCACTGATTGTTCGACGATGATCCGTGGTGTCGCAATTTGGTCTGTGCACGACCGATCCCCACGGAATCCAGCTTGTTGATCTCGAAGTTGGGCGTCTACTTCATCTTTCATCCGGCTCAGCAAAACTCTGCTAAAGACCTTTCCTGGTACTGACAGTAGTGTAATTTCTCTGTAGTTTTCACATTTGCTCAGATCTCATTTCTTTGGAATCTTGATGAGGTGTCCTTCTTTCCAGTCCATCGGCACCTGTTCCTCCTCCCAAATCTTTTCGAATAGAAGATAAAGCATGCTTGTGGTTGCTTCGATGGGAATGAATAATGTGAGAGGGTTAACCATTTGTTCTATCATTTGGTTATATTCATATTAATGTTAACGGTAGTCTGTTATATTTATGATAGGTCTAGATGTTAGGCTGTCCATAATAAAGTGTCTCATTAGTGGACGGAATTTCAGGGAATAATTGATGAAGCTCTTTAGTGTCAAGTAACAGTGTTAATAGTCTTTTGAAGTTGATGATAGTGTCACAGTTACGGATTAGTAGTGCCAATAAACTATGCTGTAAAAATCTTACAACGCAATGGTTTCCGGTGTTTTACTGTAAGCAATGTATGTGGGTTGTTTCTGAGTCTGTAGACTGGATTACGGATCACGATTATGCAGGAGGTTAGAAATATGACTGCATGTAATGCTTTGTATAGAAATATTAGATTGTTCGTTAGCCGACTATACTGTAATAGTTCTAAGGAGAGGTGCTTACATCCATCTATGTAGTTGAGAGTGAAGTCACATCCTAGCAGTCGGCGTGTGAAGCTTCTTTAGACATCTACTCTTATCTTGTCCTTAGTATTCATGTTTCAGAAGATACGGTCCATGAGCATCAAGTGTTTACAGACAAAAACTCCCGACCCTTTTAGTTTATATCCATTCTACAGTGTTAATTTCACTTGGTTGGAAGACTTAAATACCACTTTTAACAACTTGGTTTTGTTATGATTAAAGTCCGTATGACTTGAGCCTATAAACATTTAGCAAGGTGATTTTAGGGGTATTTTGAGGGGTCAGTTGTTTTGTCAACTGGTGTTGGAACAAGAATATATTAGTTCCAATAATAAAGTTATTACGAAAGGAAAATGATGTATCAATGCATCGGATATAATCCATACACAAGAAAAATACACAGGACGTTACATAAATTGTCAGAAGTTGGCGTGGTCGAGTTCCTTGTGGCCTTATAATCCACAGTTATATGTATTTTATTACTCCAACCACTATTTTTATAGTTGGAGATGTATATCCAAACAAAGCATGTAGTAAATATATCACTGTGATCTGTAAGCATATATAGCAAATACATTAGAGTTCTGTTATCATAACCATAAGTAATTGAGAACAAAAGGCACATGAGTGTAGCAGTGTATTTGTGAGCGATAATCAGTGTGTCATGCTATGTGGTGTTAGAAAAGGGTACGGAAAATCAAAGGCATGCCTTTCTAAACAACGTTTTCACAGTCATTTGCAGTAAACGTGAAGAAATGAAAGTATTAGCAAAAAATAATTACAAAATAAGTCTGTCATAACTAACTGCACAAAATTCTTATCATGCTCAAAACGATTTTAAGGCTCTGAGTTTCCACTCCCTTTAACCCTAGTAAAGATAACTGATCTGTCACTATGATAAAGTTTTAACCTCTCAGCTACTTTTAAAGGGTTAGTTTTTCTTTGATAATATTAGGTCCTTCCTTATTCTCGACCTGAGCCCATTCATCAACTTCTGATGGGGTAGCGACCACAGTCATGCGAAACACACTATGAGGTCCAAGTTGATTGTTAACGACCTGGGTAGTCAGTTTTTTTTCCTGACGGAAATATATCTAGCCATACGACTAGGTTTTTTAGGCGTTTCCTGCTGGCTGTCATTTGGAAGACGGGAGACGGAAGAAACTTTCATTCTTGGGCCTTTATTTCGGACAGACCTCTTTGAAGTCGACCTTTCCTTCTTTGGTCCACATAAGTCAGTCAATGCTGACTTTGTTTGGGGTGAACTCACATCAGTCGACCGAGCGAGTACTATCTGACGTGTCTCGACTATGTTTGCTAACAATCTTTCAGCAATGTTTACCACTGAGATGGCCTCGGTTAGCAAGCTGTCCGAGTAGCACTGCTTACGAAACCACACACAACCATTTTTATTGAACCGTTTAAGGGATACAGGCGTTGGATTCATGCTAACTTCATGGTACCATCCATCACACTTCTCTCGCTGCATGCCGCTTTCGACGATGTATCAATAGCTTTTTTTGCACTGTTCAGACTTGATTCAGAGGTTTTCAAAAAGAAACTAGATACAACAATCCTCAAAGACAGTAGAAACTTATGACCAAAAAGTGAAAATCTGTAAATTGGTAAAACCAAAATCGCTAACAAATACATTAGAAAAAATGTGCTCAAAGGTACCCACGATAAAATACATTAGAAACCAAAACGGCACTCTTACCGGATAGTTTAACTGAAATAAATTCAGATAAAGTGAAAAATAGTCTTGGTAATCAATAAACCATTAAAACAATAAAACTAACTCAGCGAGGTCAAAACACCATTGTACTTTTAAATAGCGCGCATCCAAGACATTTGATTGCAAAGCTTTTAAATCTGTATACATTGAATTTTGGGTAAGTCTTGCGTATTTTTAAGGTGTTGTATGTAGCTTAGGCGCTATTATATGTTGGGTTAGTCCTGTAGAATTTACATATAAAGCTAATCAGCATTGAGAAATGAAGAAGTTCGAACGGGCTAGGCGCACGTGTTGAATGTTGCGCAACTTTTTGACATGCAAAGCCCTATTGGGCAGTATGCTGCTCCGTCCTGTGATGTTGTGGCCCAATCTGGTATGTCGTAAAAGTGATTTCTTACCGTCATGTTTATTTCTACAATAGGCCGACTCAAATGGTACTGCAACGAAATTCTGAGAAGAATCGAAGGTTCAGGACGTAAGTACACATTAATATCGTTACATCGTTTCACAGCTATTTCAGTAATAGAGTTCAACAAAGAAGGCACACATCTGGCTTATGGAAACGCCGATGGGATTGTTAGTGTCATTGAAATTGGCCAAGCGGTTTGTAGACCTAGATTTTTGATGATAATGCTAGAATTAGGATCTTTCTGAAACAACACACCATTGTCATTCCTGTTCGAAACCCTATCAAGTTTTCCTAAGCCACGAACCAGAGTTTGACTGTCTAAAGTCTCAAGCAATAGAGGAGAAAATAAACCTTATACGCTGGCTCCCGAAATCCGGGCTTTCCCACTTCTTGTTATCTTCCAATGGTAAGCTTAAACTTTCTAATATTACTATGGAAAGAGTTGTTCGAAGATATTGGTTTATTTTTTAGTATTTGCACTTATTAAATGAAATGTCCTGATAAGTTACCCACTCGGAATAATCTTAATCCCTTCTGATGACCTTGACAATTATTTTTCTAAGCTTTGGAGTTATTTTGAATATTCATAATAAAGCTTCCATACGATCAGTCATGTTATGACTGAGTTGCAAGGCTATATGTTTGAGGTCAGGAATCTTTCAAACTGATTATGTAAATCAGGTTTATAAATAGGTAAACAGTATTTTATCTTTACGTGTATGTAACGAATCATTGTTCGTTGGTAATCATTAATTAGAGTATTGAATTATGGGGGAATGATTGCCTCCAAAGACAAAGATCTAAAAAGTAGACTAACTAGTTGTAGCCAGTAGATTTCCTCACCCTCGAACTCAAAGTCCTATTTACCAGTGTGGCAAGTGAATACTTATGCTTTTCAAGTTGAAGGTTGGTAACTAGCAAATTAAAAAGGGTGATAGACAATTTTAGAGACCACAGTCAATATCGGTGGTAATTCTAATTTTGCGTTACTCAGGGTGCCCATTCTATTATCCTTTATTTCCGTGTTCGATTTTGTCGAGAATAACGGATAGAAATCAGTAACCATGTACATGGTCCTGCCCATCCAGTCAGTAGTCGATACATCAATACTTTCGCTGATCTTAAGCACAGTGAGTGGGAAGTAAATATTCGTCAGCTACCCCATCAACCATAAATATTAACAGATAACATAAACGAAAGGATTGGGTTAACTTCGTAGTTGTTCGTTTTTGATAATAAGATTGTACAGATTTAGTAAGTAGAATGTTTTGACCTTGGTGTTCAGTAACACAAGTTTTGCGAGATACATTTGGCTAGTTGGGGAAGTGCCCGTGTGCTATCTTACAAGTCATCAAAGTATTTTTATGAGATCAGTAGGAACACTTAGGTCTTAAATAATTTGTGAGAATCATGTTGATATCTGTGCATAAGTTTGTCTCTTCTTCAGATGAACTTACTTCCGTGACTAGCTGTTGTATCCATTGTTATCTTTTGATCACAAGGGAGTTTCGCCTCGATAATTAGATTTTCGTGAGGAATGTTCTCTCCACCATTGCTTATTAATCCAGACTGTCGATCACAACTGAAAAACAATAATGATTCTCGTCTTAAACATCTACCTGATGTTTAAACTATGAGTTATACTATTATATCTAGCAATGGAATCTAAAAACTCATTTGGAATTGGTCAGCTTAATGTATTCTAGTGCAGCTGTTTACACCAACACAAACCCCGTTAAGATTGCTAATAGAGAAACAAATTCTTATAAAGTGACTCATGAGATTTAGCTCATATGTACTGGTTTCAGGTACATTCACCTGAAGAGTCCCAAATAGGGAGAAACGCGCATCCTCGATTCCAATGCTAGCCACCATACACCTCTGCTTAAAAATGAGTTATATTTGTTTCATACAAGAAACCGTTAGTTTTAACCACGACTTATACCTAATTTTTTTATCTACTTGGCCCCCAAATGCCATGGTACGGCCAAGAGTGGGGAGAGTCCTCTCTCCCTTATCCCAAGACAGTGGTGCACATAGGCCCCAGTATCCTGAGGGAAAAAATGGCGTATGAACCTATTGTTGGTCACTGGCTAACATGGGACTGCATCTCCTAACGTTGCTCCACTGCCTTGTGGGCCAGACTTTTAGATCGAAGGCTCTGGGTGTGACTCCCTAAAAGAACCATCTGCTTCTGTTTGGGCACCTGAGCAGTATCACAACCCTCACATATTAAATGAGATTTGTGTAGCGCATATGTATTTGGTGTCTCCTTGTACCAATACCTATGTGTTAAAATAAATAAATAAATAATTTACTTGCCTTTTTGAAACAATTAACCCAGTGAATAAAAGTTTAATACTAATGCATATTGGCTGTGCAAATATATATATATATATATATATATATATATATATATATATATATCCAAATCTGAAGATTTTTGGTCAGATGTTTAAATTTTTCTAATACATACTGCATATATGGTACATGCCATCAGATTGATCAGTCCCACCATTGGTATTATTTTTACAGAACGTACTATAAAACTTTGGCAGTTGACTGAACTACCGACACAATCGTTTACAAATCTGAATTTCCCCGTTGAATCCGGTTGCCGACGTAAAGTTGTTATCAGGTCATTATCCGATATCAAAGTCCCTGTCTGTTTGAAGAATTATGGAAATACAAATATACGTGTACAGAATAAAAAAGTATTTGCTCGTGCCCACGGTTTTTCAATTGTCGGTTTGTCACCCTCTGCTGACCGTGAGACTTTCTTCTCTGCCGATCCACTGAGGATTAATATGTGGAATTTAGAAGTTACTAATGAGGTGTTCAGTATCCTTTTACCAATGACTTATTTAGTCTTTATTAACCAGTTACATTTTGTCTACTATCATTAATTTATTTGGTATTAATCGCTTTTATCTTGAGTCGATTCTACTTTTTCAACGTTTATCTCGTGAAAATAGATTTATATCTATAAAATTCAGAATATAAAAGTTGTTTGTATCGATTCGTACAAACCATCAAACATTACACAGTTCAATATTGGTGTCATGTTTTCGATTGAAATCGCTGATAAGTTTTGAGTCCCACTTCATAATATTGAAATCTCTCCAGTTCGATTCGATCTTATTTGTGCAGCTACGTAAGTGCTGGTGGTGACCTGAGTGGTGAAATCAACTCATAATGTAAACGAGAGTGGTTTATGCCAATCTGGGTCATCTTTGGCACCTTCGTGATGTTATTCTGGCCGTGAAAGGTCGGGTATACAACGTATCAGTTAGATCAGTTTTGTTTTATGCTTGTAAAACCTGACCCCTTCGAGTTGAGGATGTTAACCAACTGACCATCGTTTTCTCCTAGGGATTGCTAGCCTTCAATGGCAACACCATGTTAGTAATGGGGAGGTTCGATAACGTGTGTTTACGACAGCGACGATAATTCAGTTGGTATCACTATCTTGAAATATAGACTTCGGTGGCTTGAACATGTACTGCAAATGTAGTCCCAACGAACTCCATATAGTTCATTATTTGCAGATGCTTGGACTTGTTCGAAAAATTCGAGAGGTGGTCAGTGTATTACATGGTGTCATAGGATGAAACAATGCTGAAGAGGAATGGCATCTGCGGGACCTTTAAGACTCTTTTTTGGGTCCTTGAGGTGCTACACCACAGTAGCTTGAAATGTTATCAGAAATGGCTTGGAATAGAAGCTAGTGACGATCCTGATGTATTTTTCTTTTACTTTATTCGTAAAAGTAGAAGTGACTTTTTAACTGGAAAAATTTCTTAGGATTATATTTTTCCTAACTGGACTGCTTCTCTCATTATTATTACTGCTCTCATTCTCATACACTAATTTCTATGGATTGTGGTTCATTTGTATTATACTCACTTTACTTTTTATACCTCTTCACAACCTCATTTTTATTGTGTGGTCCATATAACTTTGGCGCCCTTATGCACCAATGTTTATGTGTTCAAATAAATAATCCACAATAAACTTATGGAAGGCATTAACTTTAGAGAAGCTCTTACTTGAAAATCAGTTCATTATGGACCTGTATACAACTATAATGTGATGAACAGAAATTCTTTGGATTGTGAATTAAGATGATTTTCAGTGTTGGAAATTATTTCAAAAGTTTATTGATTTGCTGGATATAGCTTTTCCACGTATGTGAAGGACCTTTGAATTTGAAATGAAATAATCATGACTATTTAAAAATGTGTTTAAACTGTCATCTGTTATTCATTGTAATTACCTGACTTGGAACAACTCTAATGTGTTTTTAAAATGAAATTATTTTAGGAAACAGCAGTTGTTTTGTCAACACACTTTGGATTTTTGCAATAGTATTTCAGAAATAATTCTAAGTAGTCTGTTTTCAAAGGTCAACTGTTGTGAATTCATGTATTTTCTTAAGGATTCCAATCGTTGTTATAAAATACCAATACACTAAATGTGAAACATCTGTCAAATAACGATGTCATCAACTAACTGGGATAGTTTGAAGTACTGAAAGGAGCATTCAAATATGTATAATCCTGTTTTAATTATATTTTTATACCTGATTTTTTTGGTATGCAATATATTTTTCTTAACTCAAAACTCCTTGACACTGCTAATTTAAAGGTGTCATTGATCATATGCTTGATCGTTTGGACGATCGCTCACATCTAATCACCGGAATTAGTTGTAGCAATTCTTCTCCATCATTATTTGCATATGGCACTAACAGGGGTTCCATTTTTCTTTGTGATACACGGTCAAGCTCTCTTTGTGACCACGCTTCTCTTGGTAAGCATATCATTATTTTCTTACCCACTGGTTTTAAATTATACTATCAAATCACACAAAAAAACTGGCGCATGTCTTTTGGTGCCCTTTTCACTAATGTTTATGTGTTGAAATAAATAAGTGACCAATCACTAGTAGCCCACGAATATCTATTTTTAATGACTATGTTTCACACCCACAAAGTAGGACGAAGCAAACTACTGCACAGTAAGCTCCCCTTTTATTTGGCAGAATGATCTCACTTACACCTTAAGTGGTGCAGTTAGGCAAAAGCCGATTGAGCCTTCTGAATGCGTGCTGAGGTTTTGTCAGACACCAAACCATCAAGACTCGTGAGACTCTCAAGATATATGGAGTGATTGATACGCGCAACTATTCCAATCTCTTACAAATTCAGGCGATGATGTAAGCCCAATCCTGAAACAACATTTTATATTTGATGAGAGAGAACCACATCTGAAACATTCTTGAATTGTTGCTTCAGGTGGTCAGAAGACTGGATTTTGTCAGCGTCTTCACCAAACAGAACTATATGATCCACGTATTCTAGGTCAACAAGTGAATCTCATGGTAGAAGATCAGTCTCTGAAAAGTCGGGTGTCCAAAGTGTTATATCTGAAAGCATGCCTATGACGAAGCTAAATAAAAATGAGGGGAGCGGACAGCTTTGAAGAACATCACTTAAAGTCACTAATTCCGATGACAGTTTGCCGTGGGCTCTGACTCAACCAGTAGTCTTCGAGTAGAAATCCTGTACAAGGTTAATGTACTTCTTTGGTATGCCTTTCAGTGACAGACGTTGCGACAAAACCTGTTGATATACAGAACCAAATGGTGCCTTAAGGTCGAGAAATACAACTATGGTTGCTGGTCGGTAGGTATGTCAGTGTTTCAGAACCTGACTAAGAGCGAATACTGTTTCACCAAATCTCAATTGGGTGGCTCGACACCAAGTACAGGAGTCTATACCTGATTAACTTTTCCCATGACTACGTTTTACCTTTTTTTCACACTCTGGTGTTTTTTTTTCTAAAGTTTTTCATAGTCTTGCTGCAGACGAATCAGATGTGCTTACAATTCTCACTAATTCAGTTTCCGATTTGAAATTTGGCCAATGCTCCGATTACATTATATTTTCCCGTGATTATTTGAGCGTTAAAAGTAAACACTCATTTTGGATTTGTTTTTTAAAAGTTTGTATAACTCCTAAACTATAATTTGGTTTTAAAGATATGGAGGGTTTCCGAAATTTTTCAGTTTAAAAGTTATTTGTCATCACAAACTGATATCGACCTAAGGACTGTTGAAAAGCAGTAATCTAAGCAAGTGGCTGGAGATAGTCGGAGGAAACTTCTGCTTAATCTAGGTTTCCTGCCAGTTGAAATTTGTCAACAAAGCGTACCTACAACCTTTCAAGGACTTTCCATGTGATTTGAAACCACTCCACCCAACTTCACAGTTTAAGACGTTATCGTTGAGCTGTTTGGGTCACGACTTTTCTGTAAGAGTGAGGTATTTACAATTGATTGATCACTAAGTATTTGCCGATTTTATGTTGGTCTAGTTCTTTGGTTCCGCCCAAATTTTATCAGTCGAGCCGAAATTTAGCCAGCGGCGTAAGTGGATTTGACTTTGAGTGTACTATGTTGAGATATCATATGGTTGAAATGATTTGTACTAGTGACTTAATTGACAGAACTGAACCGTCCCCAAAAGAGTAGGTAAACGTAATACTAATCATTCTATGGTTAATTGGTTATAGAACCAGGTGTCAGAGAGCTGTGTTATTCTAGTTTTAACTTTTCCTCCCAGAAGTGCATATCTTTATGACACAATGGGGAGTCGAATCTAAGACCTTCAGGTCTTGATAGTAGTACAATATCTTTAGATCATCCAGTCGTAACCCAATGACAGATGTTTTAAACTATAACAAATGCACAACATTTCTGCACTATAATTGAATGCCGTCGATAAAATATCTGTCTCACTTCAATTTTGCAAATTATTCTTATGGCTTGCATCTCACTAGCGAAACAAACAATTATGTTTAGCTACATGGTTTTCACGGTTCCTTAGTCCAGTTTGAAATCAATTCTTTTTATTACTACTAAGCGACATCAAGTGGATAACTTTTCAACGTGTCTGAAAACGTTGAACACATTCTCACCTTACTTTCGATCGATCATATATATTTTTGTATGTATTTTTTAAAATTTATCCCCATACTCATGGTGTAGCTTGGGATTCACGAATGCCAACTCAACCAGTTGAAGTTTATCCTGTCCAACGTCATTTAAAAAAGCATTTAACTGTTTTATACGAAAGTGAATTACTTTTTGATGATTTCAAATTAACTATATCTTCAAATGATCGGTATGTGAGTGGTTAGTTAATGGTTGATTTTTTGGTCCGGTTTTTTTAAAAGAGTAAACACATTTCTGTCCAAAAATAGTTTGAATAAATTAATAGCTTCGTTAACATGACGATCTCAAGTGCTGTTAGAAGTGTAAGAGCGTTTGTCACTTCTGGGTTGCCTACACCATAGAATGATATTTATTCTTGACGTATCTCGAAGCGCAACCGCAGAGCCCATGAATAAACTTCCTGAGACCGGTCACACACGGGCTTTTATGGGGTGCTTTTAATATGTTGGCTCCGTACATCAAAAAGCCCTATCACCGAATATGGAAATCCTTGGAGTAAATATGACAGTTTTTGTTTGTTGGAGGGCAGCATTGCCTCAGATGCAAGCCCGATCGCCACATCAAAGTAGCAGCTACGGTCGAAAAATTAACAGTTTAGAATATAGATACAAATATATTATAGCTTTTCTTTGTATTGATGCACTGTCAGTAACTTATTGTACTGTGAAATATTAAAAATTGGTACCTTAGTGGCATGCATTGATAAATAATTATACAAGATCTGGAAAAATTATACAGTTAACTAGTGGTTATCAATGGCGAATTTTCCTAAAAAGTAGAGGATGCGCTTCAGTTTCATTAATAGAAAATGGAAGCAATACGTTCGTACAGCCATAATCGAAGTACAGTAATCTAAAATGGTAACCACCGAAAGATGATGTTAAGTAAGACTCAATGACATCAAAGAGTTAGTCAATTCTGAAATTCTCTAGAAACTTTAATAACATGATATTTGCAAATAATTCAACAAATATAGATGAAATATACGTAAATACAGAGGGCGATAAAAAAAGGATTATACGGAAAGGGAAACACCGAAATGTTGTTATTTATTTATTTATTAGTATTATTATTGAACACTGTTGGATGCCGGCTCAGTGGTTTAGTGGTAAAGCGCTCGCGCGCTAGACTGATAGGTCCTGGGTTCGAGTCACGCGAGGCGGGGTCATGGGTGCGCATTGCTGAGGAGCCCCACAATAGGATGAGTTGGCCGTCCAGTGCGTCCAGGTTTTCCATGGTGGTCTAGCTTCCATTGACTCATGATCTCAACTATTGAAATTATTGATATTTATTGTTCATAAAACTATTTATTCATACATTCTTTTTTCAAGTTTCGTTTTGACAGTAAAACAATTTTATTCTTTTTTTCCTAGTTGTATAATGACTGGTTCATATAATAATACTGTGAAAGTATTTGATCGACAAAATCCAATTGAAGGTTCTTATAAACTGATTATGCAAGATGAAGATATGAATGCATTCCATGATGCATTTCGTACAACTGATGATAATACTTCTGTGTTTGTTTCACCTATATCATCATCAACATCATCACCCGACGGTACTGAATTAACGTGGCCACGAAGGATACATGATGATTTGATTGATATCACTGAAAACTTTACCAGATCATCATTTTCAGATAATAATATTAATGATAATACTAGTACTAATAATCCCAATGTTAATGAATCCATATTCACTGTGGATGTTGGACGTAAATGGTTGCAAGTTAGTTGGAGACCTTGGTCTACTGTAGCTGCTGTCAGTCATACAGATGGTATCCACCTTATTGAAGCAATAAATTAACAGAATAAGTGCAATTTTTATATGATTTATATATATATATATATAAATGTATATATATACATACGTCTTTTTTCCCAGAAAAATACATTCCTTGTTGTGTTATTTTTGTCAGCCTTGTTGTCTTTGGTTCTTATTTTTTAGGAAAAATATTTTTACAAGTAATATTATTGGCCTTATAATGATGAACTTTTTCCGACGAATAAGTTTGTTTTATTTCTTCTTGTCTTGAGCTATTTTTTTTCTTCAGCAGATAGTCACAATTAACATTCGACGCTTTTTCCTTTTCCTCATTTGTTCTCTCTTTCGTACTACTAGTACTAATACTTTTACTACAACTGTTATTGTTTGTTACTTATCTTTAAAAAAAAAAAGAAGGAAAAAACCGTATTCTTCTCTTTTTTAAACAGACTACTAATCAGTAAATTGTTATATTCATCCTTCCTTCTAACCACCACAACAACAACAACAACGATGTACTTCATTTTGTCTGTTTTGTTTGCCGTTGGTTTGCCGTGTAGTAATTGCATACCATATACTAGGGAAAATAGACACACACACACACGCGCGCGCGCGCTTTCAAAAATCAACAGTTAGCTTATTCTTCCTTCCTTCCTATTCTCTTCACTACTGATATTTTGTGCCAAACACATATTTCCAATGTTTATGTTATCGATGTTACTATTACTCATAATAATAGTAACAATTATTATTATTATTTTCGTTGGCTAGATTTCAATTTATGTGCATAACATATATTTATGCGCATGTATTTTATGTACACTCTTACCATAGTATGGTATTATTCTTCTCATTCAAAATATGAAAACAACGAAACAGATTAACCAGTTCCAAGTGGAATGAATACACAATGTGTCTGAAAGTGTCTGTGTATGTGAGAAAAAAAAGAGAGAGAGAAAGAGAGAACAAGACACATACACATAACCGACCATACATACTTCCTTGTTAAATCAATCTCGCTCATTCACCCTATTTTGCTTTCTCACTTAATTGATACATTATTTTATGATGAGTACAATTATTGTTTTACTACTTTATTGACATATTTTAATGAGTATGATTATTATTTATTTATTTATTTATTCTGAATGTTACTATAATAGATTATGTTTGGTAATTTCTAGGATAACTTTTCTTAATTTATTTAATATTATTATTATGAACAGAATTTGAAAAAGAAAGTAATTATTTAAAACAAAAATAGACTTTTACTTTTGTGTTATTTGTAATTGTGAGTCGTTTCGTAATTACTTATGCCTGTTACTCCTTGTGGAGGAGCATAGACTACCTACCAGCACACTCCATCCAACTCTGTCCTGGACAATCGTTTCCAGCTCTTTCCAGTTGTTATTCATCCTTTTCATAACTGATTCTATTTTTCGACGTAATGTGTTCTTTGGCCTTCCTCTTTTCTGCTTCCCTTCAGGATTTTAAGTTAAGGCTTGCCTCGTGATGCAGTTTGACGATTTGCGTCATATATGTCCTATTCATTTCCATCGTCTTTTCCTAATTTCCTCTTCATCTGGAAGCTGGTTTGTTCTCTCCCATAGAAGGCTGTTGCTGATGGTATCCGGCCAATGGGTGTTGATTATCTTGCCTGTAGCTCTTCCAGAGTTACTGCTGGTCCCAAGCCCGGATAAAGAAAGAGGGTCACATAGATGTAGCATTCGGTATTTATATTACTTTATTTTATTTATTTAATAAAACATAAACATTGGTACAGGGAGGTACCAAATAGATATGCGCCACATAAATCATTCGATTTGTGTGATAGCCGGGATACTTCCCGGCTGCCTAAACCGAAGCAGGTGGTTTCCCTAGGGGGCCACACCCGGAGCCTTCGATGTAAAGGTCTGATCCACAAGGCAGTGGAGCGACGTTAGGAGATGCAGTCCCATGTTAGCCGGTGACCAACAATAGGTTCATACGCCATTTGTTCCCTCAGGATACTGCAGTCCATGTGCACCATTGGTTTGGAATGAGGGTTTTCCAACTTCCCTAGGTAGAATCTCCGTGTCCATCAATTTCGCTTTTCGTCCTTTCAATTTCGTAAACATCAGTAATGCCGCGAGAAGGTAGTGATTAGGACTTCCCTGACAGTGGTTGTATAGACGTATTTCAGTATTCCTTGATACATACCTTATAATTATGTCTTTCCGAATTATATTCTGAATGTTCATTTTTTCTCATTATTATTGCTACTATGTTATCTCGATTCCTTCATTGTCCACCTTGTTAGTCTCATTTCAAAATACTGTTGTGATATAGCGACTTATGCCTATGCTCATATTTGCTAGGTCTCATGTTGATTGACTGACTGATGCATTTGGTCTATATAGTTGGAGTAGGGTTAGTGAAATAGTATATTGTGAATCTATCAATATAATGGATAAAAGTAATGTGTTATATTGTTAAATATGCCTGCAGCTCTTCTAGGATTATTGCCGATCTCAAACCCGGGTAAAGAAGCTGGGTTAGGCATAGGGTCAGCAACCCCATCCCGTAGAAAAAAATCTTGCTAAAAAACGCCAACCACATTAAACAAATTGAACCATTTAAACTCTGCCCTAGGAGTTAGAAGGTCCATTTAGAAGAATTATGACGCCTTATATTGAAAGCCGAGTTTTTTCGGAAGTCACGAGGCCGATGCCACTTCTAACAACCAGAGCGACAATTAATGTACGTACATGGAATGTTCGGACAATGTGGGAGATCGGAACGACTAATAAAATAGCTACGAAAATGCGGAAGTACAACTTGACGATAAATCCATTGGACCTAAGCTGAACAGCAGAATTTAGATTAGGGAGAGATGCTTCTGTACTCTGGTCACGAAGAAGTAAATGTTCAGGACACTCAGGGAATTGTTCTGATGCTGTTCGAAGAAGCACGAAATGCACTTGTAGGATGGGAATCTGACGGATCCAGAATCTTCAGAGCATCCTTCAAAACAAAGAAGAAGGGGATCACAATGAATATCAGTCAGTGTTATGCACCCACCAATGATAGCAATGATGACGGTAAAGATCAGTTCTACGATAGGCTGCAATCAATCATAGCGAAATGCTCAAGAAAGGACCTCACAATTCTGATGGGATACCTAAACCTCAAAGTCGGAATAAACAACAATGAATATGAAGATATCATGGGACGACATGGATTGACTGGCAGAGAGAAACGGAAACGGGAAAAGATTTGCGAATCTGTGTGCATTCAACAAATTGGTCATAGACGGCACAATATTTCCACACAGACGTATACATGAAGCTACATGAATCTCACTGGACCACACCACAGAGAACCAGATAGATCATATTTACATCAGTGAAAAGTTTCGAAGGACAATGGGAGATGTGAGAACCAGGAGAGGAGCTGACATAGCTTCAGATCACCACCTAGTTGTGGCTAATTTAAAATTGAAGCTAAAGAAGAACTGGAGGACTGAACAAACAGCACTACAGAGGTTCAATACAGCCTTCCTTCGAGATACTAAGAAATTCAACGAATTCAAGATAGCTCTCAACAGCAGGTCCCAAGCCTTACACAGGATCTGCTGAAGGAAGAGGAAAATACTATGGAGGACAACTGGAGAGGTATCAAAGAAGCGTTAACTTAAACGTGTCAAGAGGTTCTGGGCCTCAAGAAGCATCATCATAAGGAATGGATCTCCATAGAAACACTGAACAAGATCAAAGAAAAGAAGAACAAGAAGACAGCAATTAACAACAGAATAACAAGAACAGAGGAGATCAAGGCACAAGCTGAGTACATAAAAGTAAACAAGCAAGTGAAGAAGAACATTAAAGCCGACAAGCAGAAATACAAGGAAGAACTAGTAACGACAGTGAAAAAAGCTGCAAGAGAAGGTAATATGAAACAGCTTTATGATACAACAAAGAAAGTAGCAGGGAAATATAGTAAACCAGAAAGACCGGTCAAGAACAAGGAACGCAAGCCAATTACTGAGATTCAAGAACAAAGGGACAGATGAGTAGAATACTTCGAGGAACTCTTGAATAGACCAGCTCCATTGAATCCACCGGACATCGAAGCAACACACACAGGCCTTCCTCTGAATGTCACTACCAACAACAGAAATCATGATGGCCGGTCACCAGACAAATCAAGAGTGGGAAAGCAGCAAGACCTGACAATATATCAGCTGAAGCACTGAAGTCAGACAGAGAAGTAACTGCAAACATGCCCCATGTTCTATTCAGGAAGATTTGAGAGGAAGAAGTGCGGACAAACTGGAAAAAAGTATAACACATGAAGATACCAAAGGAATATCTGAGCAAGTGTGGCAACTACACAGACATCACACTAATATCGATACCAGGAAAATTTTTCGACAGTGTTGCTGAACTGGATGAAAGATTCAGTAGATGTCCAGTTTCGAGATCAAAAGACCAGATTCTGTAAGGATCAGTCGTGGACAGACCAAATTACGACACTACGGATCATCGTTGAACAATCGATTGAATGGAACCCCTCACTATACATCAACTTCCTTGACTATGAGAAGGCGTTTGACAGTGTGGATAGAAGAATATTATCGAAACTTCTTCAACACTGCGGTGTACCTGAGAAAATAATGTGAATAATATGAGAAATAGTTTATAGAAATATTTTTTACTTGATAAAAGATTTAAAGATATACTGATCTCGGAAAGCAATCAAGTTTCTCAGCAAATATGGTCTGTCTTAAGGTAATCATGATAAATTCACTGACTGAATGAAGCTACTATATACAGTTTATTTAGAATTATAAATCTAGTGTCATTCACACTTATCAATGTTATTTAGTTCCACCTGTATAACTATTCCTTTAATGTTAATCTTTCATCGTAGTAAATATTCTTGTCATATATAGACGCTTGGCTGGCGACTACTGTTTCAGACTCAAGGATGAGGATAGAGAAACGTTTGTGAATAGGCAAGCTAATAGGAGAGTGGCTTACGTTAGCTCAAGGTTAATGGTG